TCCTTTAGCGCCAGCGGTTGCTCCGGCAGCCGCGCCTTTTTTGCCGGCGGCTTTGGCCGCAGCGAAACCTTTCTTTCCAGCGGCAGCGGCTCCGGCGGCCGCACCAGCCTTTGCGAAGCCTTTTTTACCAGCCTTTGCACCGGCGGCTCCGGCCGCTGCAGCCCAACCACCCTTCTTGGCAGCAGCACCGGCAGCTCCACCCGCTGCGAACGCACCGCCGGCTTTTCCAAATTTAAATCCCTGAGCAGTTTTGAACGTTCTAATCATCACCAATAAAGTATTCAATATTTTTAATATAATTAATTTGTGAACAATTTAAGTAATGGTACTCACGCTACTTTACCAAATGCTTTGTTATATCCGGCACCGCCTGCCTTACCCCATTTGCCAGCCTTAGCCCATTTGGCACCTTTCTTACCCGCTGCCGCAAATGCCTGTTTAAAACCAAATACATATTTTATTAAATGTTATTAAGATATTTATTATGAAAGTCAAAGTACTTTTCCGACTTTGCCGGCCTTAGCACCGGCTGCTCCAGCGGCAGCTCCGGCTGCGGCTCCCTTTTTAGCGCCGGCAGCGGCTTTGAACGTTGCGCCCCCTTTAGCGCCAGCCTTAGCTCCGGCTGCAAACGCTCCCTTCTTAAAGCCTTTGGCAACGGCCGCACCGCCCACTCCAACGCCGCCCGCTTTGGTCTCAGCGACGGCTAAATCGGCCTCAATCTGCGTTTCTTCAGATCCCGCGCTCAACAAATCCGATTCCTCGCGAGCGCTGATACCAGTTGTGCCCAAACAATACAATACACTCAATACTACAATCTTTATTAATATAAATATAAAATAATTACAATCAAAATGACATCAAATAATTTATTATAAATCTTACAATTTTATAATCCATTGAATTTTAAAAAATTGTGTTTATTTGTAACAGAATAACGAGAAAAATGTTCTAAATGAAAAATCTTTTAACTTTTTGTTAGTTTTATACTAAAATCATAGCACATACTCAATAATATTAATATCCGTTTTGTTAACAAAGACATTCATTTTCAACCATTCAGATTTAAGATATATTTCAAGTAATACAGTATTTGCAATATTTTTTAAATATATAATTGGGTTAAAATTTTTTATTTAAGTCCTTCAAATAAAATCGTATTTTTAAGGCTTATGTGTTATATTTGTACTGAAGTCCTAATGTTAGCTAAAATGTGAAAATCATTTAAGAAGCAGATAATCATTTTTTTGTTATAATTCATATCCGCTTTCTTAGAGAAAATTGTTTTGTTTTTTATAATATTTATATAAAACCAACTAAAGGACAGTCTTGTAATCCTAAGAATTGTCAAGCATTGAACACAGCGGAAGTAATGGATAATTTACTTTTATCCTATTTCTTAATATAATTTTGTGAATAACAAAAAATATGATGTATTTTAATAAAGTGGATATAATAATCAAATACACCGTTTCATAGAAATGTTTGGTATTTACATTATTATAATACTGTATCTAGTATATTGTTTGCATAAAAATAAACACATTACATTTAAAGTGGTATTGAACTTGAATTTAATTTTATTTTAAGTAAAGAATATAATTTTGCAATAAAGGTTTATTTTCCCACACTTTCTTTACAATCACATTAATTTTTAATTATTTGTAACATTTCGGTAATTGATAACCAGGGAATTGCATTTAACTATACCACCTATTTTTAGCGGTTAATAGCATTACCCCCGGACTCGGGATGTGAACCGATCATGTATTGGGGGTCAGTTTACCGAAAGTTTATTTTAACTATATTTAACTATTTGAGGCGTTCGTAACTATTTGGACGTTTATTACCTTATACGTAACTATTTGATACATTTTTCAAGTTTTTGGTATATTTTAGCATAAAACACAAAGAAAATCACAACTTAATCTACATTTGTTAGTTGGAAAAACATTAAATAGAGTAAACTATGATAAATGTAAAAGTTATTATAAAATATTGCAATAATTTATCATTCAAAGCGATGGTATGACCAAAATTATAAGTTGTATGTATTCACGGTTTTGACCAAAATAATTAAAAATATTCTAAACAACAGTTAATTTAGTTAAATACAAGTGATTTAACTTAAAAACAGTTATATTTAATGTATTAAAGAGTGCAACTGACATTTGGTAACATTTTATATAATTTTAAAGCCTATTTTGTCAAATTATAAGTAACTATTTGGGGTGTTTTTCGTAACTATTATAGTGACTATTTGAGGTCTTATATTTAACTATAATGCAATGCTCTGTCGATAACATATAAAATTGTTATATAAATCTATTTAATAAGATTGAATTTAATTGTAATAATAAAATAAAATAATAATTATTATTATTTGATAACTTTATTGTACAAAATGAGAATATCGATAAAGCATCGTAATTACAGTACATGTAACTTTATATGACCCATTTTTGAATGTTAATCAAATTTAAGTAACAAAAAATCAACTATATACTGTACTATGGAGCTGATCCATGTGACACTGTGTCATTGACACATCAGCTCTACAACATGTCTCAAACCAGACTCACTTGTAGCGTTGCCAGAAATATTTTGGCATTTCCTGGAAAATTTGACAATTTTGGGCAAATTTCCTGGATTTTCCTGGATTCAAGTTTTTAATTTGCTACAAAAATACATAGGCTAATATTTGTACTGGATTTTGTAATATAACTTTTGTTTTAAAAGTTTTTGCAATTGTTACATATAGTTTAAAAGTGTCATATCAGTGTTTATATTACTATTGTTAGCAATATCTATTAATATAATTGAAAACACACTAGCCCATATATATAGAGTTTGTTAAATACTATTTTTACAATTTATTTATTTAAAATTTACTTCCTGGATTTTTCAATGTCCAGGAATTACCCCTCCCTGGACTCTGCAAAAATGGTCCATTTTCTGGATAATTCAGGACGTTCCTGGACGTCTGGGAACCCTACTCACTTGTAATAATAAAGACGGTTGAGGTCCTATTCAAGTGCCCAAACGGAAACATTATTTTGAATAATAAAGGGCTGATTTTGCAAATATGCTCATCACTAGATTACTATTAATTTTTCCTAAACAACGTCATTTTTAATACTCAAACTTTTTGTATTAATTGACCACTTTAATGGTAGTGTCCACCTCCATCAGAATAAGAGTGCTATAACGGGTATTTTGACCCACAAAACGTGTTAGTTTTCGGTTTTATCCCAACTTGGGTTTTATTTATACAAATTATATTCTGGTATTATATAACTTTCCATTACTTGGTATAACAAACTCACCTCTTTATTTTAAATATTTCACACGTACCATAGTATAATGATAAGAATAATGATAAGTGTATTTATAAATTAATAATGATAGAAAACATTTATTATAATATAATTAATGATATAGTTATTAATATATTTAAATGATATACAATTCCAATTAAAAATTAAATAATAAATGATAAATTGTGAAGAATGTTAAAATCCAAATCTAGTGATTGTTGAATCTTTGTCTACATTTATGGTATTAATACTGTTATCGACATTGAATTTATTGGAGTCAATAGAGGGCTGTGTTGTGGCGTTGTATGCAATACTGGACTCAGTATTGTGTGCGGCGGACGACGAGAATATTCTGGGCTGTTGTTGGAAAGAACGCCCATTTTGTGACCGCCGGCGCCCGCTTTGGCCCAATCGAGAGCCGTTCAGTCCGTTGTCGTATCCCTCGTTGGTGTCCTCTGCGTCGTCGTGCGGAACGGTATTCATGTTATGATTGGCAAGATTTGCATCAAATCGTTGTCTTTTATTCTGATTTCCATTGTTATAAAGTGATTGCCCTCTAATTCCAGTGGGATTTTGTGGATATTGTCCATAATTTGGTTGTTGTTGTGGATAACCAGGTTGGTTATATTGGTACAGTTGTGGTTGATTTTGGATATATTGTCCGGGTTGGACGGGTTGGACGGGTTGTTGTCCTACATATTGCTGTTGTGGTATATATTGTTGAGGGGGATAGGCTTGGGGTTGGGGTTGATATTGTTGTTGAACACCGTATTGAGGCTGATATGGCGGATAATATTGAATTGGTTGTCCGTATGGCTGTTGTGGATACCCCTGCGGAGTAATTGGCTGTTGGTATAGTCCTTTAATCAAACAATGACAATTATTAAACAATACCACATTATAATGTAAATAAGTTACACGTTATACAGTACGGTACAACTTCCCTTAGGAAAACACCTCATTATAAGGAACGGTTTTGACATATTTATTAGATTTTGTATACTTATAATATTAAGACAACTTCTCTTGTGGAAACTTCTCCATAAGAAGTATCTTCCCATTGGGAACGGATTTATGGAAATTTAGGCAAAATTAGGACTCATTATAATAAACTAGCAAACATTTTACAAAATAATAACGATATTTAAAGCATATTAAATTCAAATCACAAAATGAAAACAAGCAAACATATCTATATTCTGAATTAGTTTAACTTAAAACAAACTGAAACCGTAAAATATTAGCATAGAAACCTTTGAATTACATATTAACAAATATAATATCATGTATATTGTGTTTACATTCGAACTTCCCTTGGAGAAACTCTCCCTATAATGAACACTTTTGCCATGATACTGGCCGATCTTTATAGAGAAATTGTATTATATAGACTGTACTGTATATACTGTAAATATTTTGTCATTTATTAAGACACATAATGTACAAAGTGTTCAATTTATTGGGTTCTTAATAAATGATAACATACTGTATATATTATAAGTTAAGATATATAATTATAAGATTAAATACCCTGTCCATTAATTAATGGTTGAATTGGCTGTTGGTTATATTGAGGGCCCGGCACTGGAATTGGTTGTGGGATTGTATTGATTCTCCCTTTGGCCACATTCTAAAACCAAAACCCGCAGTCCATAGACACAATGTTAAAATAGTATCAACTGTGTGAACGTCAACTGTGTGAACATATCATTTGTGTGAACAAAATTGAGGAATATTATACAATATTCAATACAATCAGTTGTGTGAACCACATATATTTTGTGACAAAACCCACATATAGATGACAGCATTAATATTTATTTTGTTCACAAAACTAAAAAACCTTAACATAAAGTTAAATTACAGTACAAGAGTATAAAGAGATCACTGGTGCTTACAAAAACCAAGCAATGTCACCTATATTTCTAAAACAACAACATATTCTTACTTTTTAATATGTAATCAGTTGTATGAATATATCATTTGTGTGAACCAAATGCTAAAACCCAATCGGTTCACCCAGTTGATAAAATACTGTATTAAGACACATAATGTACAAAGTGTTCAATGTATTGGGTTCTTAATAAATGATAACATACTGTATATATTATAAGATATATAATTATAAGATTAAATACCCTGTCCATTAATTAATGGTTGAATTGGCTGTTGGTTATATTGAGGGCCCGGCACTGGAATTGGTTGTGGGATTGTATTGATTCTCCCTTTGGCCACATTTAAGATATATAATTATAAGATTAAATACCCTGTCCATTAATTAATGGTTGAATTGGCTGTTGGTTATATTGAGGGCCCGGCACTGGAATTGGTTGTGGGATTGTATTGATTCTCCCTTTGGCCACATTAACCCTGTGTTTAACATTATTTAGAGCGGGAGGAGTGACTACAGGTGTGTTTTCGTCTAATATCTCGTCGTATTCAACGCCAGGATTATTGACAGACGACTGTCTAATTCCTCCAAATTCTGGTCTGTATTTTTGATTATTATTTTGTTGTCGATAAGCGGGCGGTGCGGCCGGTGTTGTGGTTACAGGTTTGGGCGATTCTGGTTCAGATGTCGTATCATCTGAGCCGCCATCTTCAGTAGTGTCGCCTTCCGTGCCATCACTGCCGCCCTCAACGCCTTCCCCTTCTTCACTGCCATCTCCTTCTCCTCCTTCTCCTCCTTCCCCTCCATTTCCATAATCATAGTCTTGTCCTTTAAATAAGATAATCGTCACAATTAATATAAACTTACGGTGAAGTATATAGAGGTACATAAATATATAATGAGAATATAAGAATATGCGACATACCTTCGCCATTATTAGCCTGATCATTGGCACCGCCCGCTTGTTGTTGCTGTTGTCGTTGATCTTTGACCGCCTGTTCCTTTGCCTGTTTCTCCTGTTGTTTCCTAATTTCGTTCAAATCGTCTTTACTTAGAAGTCCGGGAGGAAAGAGACCCTCAGGAAAGTTATCTCCTATACCTCCGCCTAAATTTTGCAATTGTTGAATATCGGGATCATTGGATGGATCTTGATTTGGATCCTGAGCCTCTTGACCCTCTTCGCCGCCTTCTTCGCCGCCTTCCCCTCCTTCCTGGCCCTCATCAGCGCCCTCTTCACCCGAGTTGTCCCCCTCTTCACTTGAATTATCATCTTTAGCGTCGTCTCCATTCCCCTCATTACTATTTACGTTATTTACTCTATTATTAAGTTTGTTGTTATTATTGCCATAATTTCTATTATTTCCATAAAAACCTCCGCCAATATTCTCCTCATTATTTCGATTTCTATTTACTTTTTATAAAATGAATGATAAAATTACATTTATAGAGCATTAATGACCAAATGTATACATACGGGGGCGTCTATTAACACCACGCGGGGCACCGAAAAGTCCACCACCCCCTCCAGTTTGCGCATCATTTTGTCCATTTAAACCAACTCCAGCGCCATTTTGTCTGGACGGACCGCCAGCACCCAACCCAATTCCTAGAGGGTTAAGCGCACCTCCCAACTGACCTAAGGCAGGCAGTAGGCCTAATAAACCAGCGCCGCCTCCATTACCTAATTGCGCTCGAATTAAGTCTATTTGAGAAATAACAGTATGAGTTACTACAGGTAACACAATTAGTGGTCATTATTTACTCTGAATTCTGGGATCTCTTAAAAGTCTGGGATTTTGAAAGATCTGTTGAGCGATTTCTGGGTTCTGTTCGGCCAATTGTCTAAGTCTTGGGTTTTGTTGAAGTATAAGAGCTAATTGTGGGTTCAAACCAGCGCTCGCTCTTTGATTTGGTGGTTGAGAACGGGGCGCACCCGCGACCCATGGGTTTTGCGACTGAGCTACACGTTGTAAGGGGTCGCTCTTCTCCCCACTATATTTGCCCTCATTTTCATTGTTTTTCATTCTTACGGATTGCTTCACATTATTTTCAATATTATTATTGTCAGTCAATGAAGTATTTTGTGAATCAGAATCAAAGAACTCCACAAATGATGAATTTGAAGAATGATTAGGATTTGTGTCCACAACACTAACTGTAGGCGTTTTTATAGTAGAATTCAGATAAGTCTTATTCGTTTCATTCGAAACAATGTTTGTTTCATTTGATTGATGTATTGTTAACGGAGTTGTCATCACTTCATTAGTAAAGACCCCCTCCAGTAATGTGAACACAAAAATCAACAAAATCTGATGCTTTGAAGACATCTGCAGTAAATGGAATATTAAATTGATATTATATTATAAAATGCTGTTATATTTAATAATAAATTAAACGTTAATCTACTAAAACGAATGTTATCTATTTGATAAATACTTTCCATAGCATTATAATTATAATATGGTTATAAATGTACAATAAATATATCAAATCATTTGATGAATTAGTGATTTACATAAATACATAATCAAAACAAACTTACCATGTTCTTCAAATATTTGGATTATACAGTAGAGAAAGACGAGTTTGTAGTATTATATAATTTACAATTGGTTTCCAATTTGAAACATTAAATACATATATGAAAACTTTACTTAAAATAAAACAAAATATTACTTTCAACTCATTATAAAAACGTTTAGACATGAAATAAATGCACAAAATATTTGATTTAAAAAATGTTGTCAAAAAATCCTTGACTGAATTACAGGCAACAAATGTTTAAAAAATCTAATCTTAAATTTAGACAATTTTTGGACGAAAAAGTGAATGCCATGTAATAAGTACTCAAAACCCATTTCACTCACTATATCCGGCGTTTGTAGAAATTATTTATGAATGACTGATTCTTATGAATTAAAAATGTATAATTATATTTCTGTATTACATGATTATTATTATAGCAATATATAAAATACTAAAAATATATTTTTATGGTGAATATAAGTTAATAATATTGGCGTTAATTTATTGATATAGACATTATTGTTTATTAAATTTGTAAATTATTTTATGTTTTATCAAACAAAAAGTCAAAATACATCAAATTCACCAATTAATAAATTTTTAAGTAAAAACTTTGGTATTAGTAAATATGATTACAATTATTGACATAATCTTGTGCTCCATTTATCAAACAATTAATAAAACATTGTTCAGGAATTTAACATTCATTGACTTTTTTTTTACAAATTCACATTTAATTAAGTAATTCAAACACAATTCAGTATAAATAATGTGTTTATGAAATGGCGAAGTCCCTTGTCTATGGGAATAATCCCAGCTTAAGTATATGGAATCCATATTATGGATATAAAGTTTATATCCACTTTATTTAACAGTGAACTAATGTTATCAGACTGGTCTTAATGTTAAATCTATGGATGTAATTATATCCGGCGTTTGTAGAAATTATTTATGAATGACTGATTCTTATGAATTAAAAATGTATAATTATATTTCTGTATTACATGATTATTATTATAGCAATATATAAAATACTAAAAATATATTTTTATAGTAAATATAAGTTAATAATATTGGCGTTAATTTATTGATATAGACATTATTGTTTATTAAATTTGTAAATTATTTTATGTTTTATCAAACAAAAAGTCAAAATAAATCAAATTCACCAATTAATAAATTTTTAAGTAAAAACTTTGGTATACTCCGTAGTTAGGCCATGCCATGCTAATATGATTACAATTATTGACATAATCTTGTGCTCCATTTATCAAACAATTAATAAAACATTGTTCAGGAATTTAACATTCATTGACTTTTTTTACAAATTCACATTTAATTAAGTAATTCAAACACAATTCAGTATAAATAATGTGTTTATGAAATGGCGAAGTCCCTCGTCTATGGGAATAATCCCAGCTTAAGTATATGGAATCCATATTATGGATATAAAGTTTATATCCACTTTATTTAACAGTGAACTAATGTTATCAGACTGGTCTTAATGTTAAATCTATGGATGTAAT